AGAAAGCCACTGGGCCCTTTTAAAGCATGAAATAGGTGTGTTTTCATTCCTCAAACAATACATTTAGCCCTGTCATGATGTCGGTTTTTTGTTGTATGTTATAGTGCACCAAAATATATTGCGGTAAATGATGTTATTGTCATTTTAAGCCACTTTTAAGTGATTATATAATGATGGAATGACAATATAATATCCTCCCAATGCCTCACTCATCCAAAGAACACATCATATTTTATTCTTAGGAATATTTCATTTAATTAGAGTCATTTTAACAGGGTTAATAATAAGGCATTGGAATCAGAATGTGAAAACACAAATCCGAAATAAATAATTACCCGTTAGAGCCACTGGGCCCCTTAAAAGCATTAAATAGGTGTGTTTTAATTCCTCAAACCATACATTTAGCCCTGTCATGATGTCTGTATTTTATTGTATGTTATAGTGCACCAAAATATATTGCAGTAGTGATTTTATTGTCATTTTAAGCCACTTTTAAATCATTATATAATGCCAAAATGACAATATAATATCCTCCCAATGCCTCACTCATCCAAAGAACACATCATATTTTAATCTTAGGAATATTTCATTTAATTAGAGTCATTTTAACAGGGTTAATAATAAGGCATTGGAATCAGAATGTGAAAACACAAATCCTAAATAAATAATTACCCGTTAGAGCCACTGGGCCCCTTAAAAGCATTAAATAGGTCTGTTTTCATTCCTCAAACAATATATTTAGCCCTGTCATGATGTCGGTTTTTTATTGTATGTTATAGTGCACCAAAATATATTGCAGTAAATGATTTTATTGTCATTTTAAGCCACTTTTAAGTCATTATATAATGCCAGAATGACAATATAATATCATCCCAATGCCAGTACACTCTTCCAAAGAACACATAATAATTAATTCCTGTAAATATAGTCATTGTAACAGTTTCATAATCAGGCATTGGCATCAGAATGTGTAAACGCATATCCTAAATAAATAATAATAAATGTTGACAAGAGGTGCAGGGTAAAGAGTAACAGAGGCTGCCATATCTGCTACCAGATCTGTTTTCAGTTGTCACATGAGAATATATTAAGTCATTTATTGCAAATACTATAGTGTTTCTTTAACCCTACTCACTCAGACATCTCCAATAGTGATAGAGATGTTGTGCAATCAGATTTTCTGGGGAGTCAAACAGTACTCAGAAAAAGAATTAAATAATCTCAGTATAACATAATAATAATGACACTATAATTTTCATTAGGTAAATAATTATATAATGTACAATTAATCTATAGTTGTAAACTTCTAATTTATTGTGCCCAAATGGCTTAAATGTTCTTGAAATGCTTGCAGAGGCCTTAATAATAATAATAATTAATAATAAGCTTTTATTCTTAAGGTTAAAATCTGAAATAACTCCACTATGTCGTTAACTGTTATGTCTGGTCAACTATAATCCCTGCGATGTGACCATTACGGACTCACGCATTGCGATAACGATGTTAAAACGATATATTTTACAGTACATAACAATAACCAACACATGCAACAAACCCACAAGATTCAGGCAGGACTACAGCTGAACTGAGAACAGTTTGCATTGTTGTGTGGAATTCCATGTCAACAAACCCTGTGGAGCGAGAGTGAAAGTGAGCAAAATTAGCCCATAAGGAGGTGGGGGAGCTCGTATGTGTTTTGGGGGAGCTTAAAACAAAGAGCCGTTCTCTTCTAAAGGTGAAGGAGAATATGAACCAAACCTCAAGCTCCACAAAGCACATACAGTTTTAATGGAAGCGCATGTTACCGCCCTGATACTGTCAGTTTATGAATGCCAGACACACCAAAGCTGCTGCACCTCCAGCACTGGCTTTGATGCTGTCTGTAAAGGTGTTATGTGCGGTGTCTGCTTGTTTAATTGGGATCTGAGCTCAAAAACCACTCTGTAATTCTGCAACTGGCTTCCTTTCATTGTTTTGTGCATTTATAAGGATTGAAGTCTGAGTTAAACATTTTTGTGGAGTTGACATCAGCTGTGGAGTGACTTAATATTGCTTTTTTAACTACTGTGACTTCATAGTAGTCTGCAAAAAGTTTGAAGCTGCTGAGGGGACATCTTTTTTGGTCGTATGTTCAAATTCAGATTTTTTTGGGTTAGAAATATTTCAGTTCTTTGCTAAAGTTTATGATCGTGCTTAACTTCCTGATGCGACAATAGCAATTTTTGGCTGGTCGGATTTTCTGGAGACTCTCAACCGAAATGTTCAGTGTCACATGATTATAGCTAAAAAAATGTTATCCTTTGTCTCTGGGAGAAAAAAATTAGTCCTGTTTTTTTCTGACTGGCTTCACCTCCATTTTACATTTGGAAAGAATTAAATATAGCTCTTCTGGGAACTCTGCAAAATTTGATGAAACGTGGGATCCGGACTTTTTTTTCAAAAACACCATAAAGACTAAGGCTGCGTCCGAAACTGCCTACTGCTCAGTGGTAGGTACTGCATTTAAATTTAAACGAACTACTATGCCGTTAGAAAAGTACGTACTATACAGTGTGAATGTGAAAAGTATGAATGTAATTCGGACGTACTACATCCACCATTTTGACATAGTCACGTGACATACCTGCGTAATTTACGTCGATTTGCTCCCATTCATGAATTTGCTCGCAGGGCATCATGGGGTAGCGCAGCATGCATGGGATGCGCACTCCAGAATCTCGCCGGAAGTAGTAAGTCATCCAGGTACTTCTCGCATACTGTTTTTCGAATTCTATGAATTCGGACATACTACTCGGTTTACATACTGATTTTAGCGTACTATATAGTTTGGAAGTGTGCGGTTTCAGACACAGCCTAATAGTGTTGTTTAATTTTGAAGATGTGCAAGTTTTTTTCACTCTCTCTTTACATCCATTGCTGTGTCTTTTTGTAGATTGTATATCACCATGTTCATGTTTCATGCTTTATTTTACATTTTGCACAGATTATTGTTTCATGATGGGTTTGTCTGTCTGTTTCTTGTTTTTATAAGTCTGCAAAAACTAAAAGAAAAAAATTATCAAAAAAAATTATCAAAAATATCCGTAAACTACCAGTTTTCTGTATTTTGTGATTATTTAATTTTATTTTTCTCAGTTTATTTATTTTTTTAATTGAATTATGGGACGTTGAACTTTCTTTTATTAACTTTAACCATTGAAAACTTTGAAAAAAGTGACTTTCATTTATATTTTTAATACTTTCAAGGGATATTGTCTGGGTTGGTGTTGTATATTCAATTTATCTTTATTTCTATAGCGCTTTTACAATGTAGATTGTGTCGAAGCAGCTTAACCTAAAAGATTATAGTAAATTGAAACAGTGTCAATGCAGTTTTCAGAGTTTAAGATCAGTTTAGTTCTGTTCAGTGTGGTTTAATTTTCACTGCTGAGTCCAAACACTGAAGAACAAATCCATTGATGCGCAGCTCCACAGTTCCCAAACCAAGTAAGCCAGTGGCGACGGTAGCAAGGAACAAACTACACCAATTGAGAAAAGTGATTATGATTAAAAAAAAACTTGTAATAAACTGCCAGAACATTGTCTGTTATATTACAGATTAAATTCTCTCTATATCTGGTTTTGTATACATTATTGCAAACTTCAAATTTGTCAATAAAAGTCCCTTTGTTAAACTGTAGAGTTTAATTTTTAACATTAAGTCAACAGAGCAGAGATCAACATAACATAATGCAATTCACAACCGTAAATAAACATAAAACACTTGTGAATCACAAAAAACATAAAAAAATACAGATTTTTTTTACAGTGTATACAATATAACTATTAAATAATTTAGTTTATTATTTATTTTTTTATTATTAATACACACCACAGCACTATCTAACTTACAAGAATCAATGCACATGTATTATAATAGCTACTAATACAATATATAAAATATGCACTTTCCTTAACATTTATATGCATTTTTAACTAAAATCTTTGAGCAACTAAAAAAAGTACACTACCCACAGTGAACCCCCTAATTAGTCAGCAGTCTACCCATCAAGTACAGGCCCCTTTGAGCAGAAGTAGAAACACAAACCTGTTATTACATAACCTGCAAGACCTCTTCAAAGATTTGAATGCTATACTTTGACTTTATCCAAATGGGTTAAACACATAATAGGCATTTATTTGGCACTGCACTTGGCATGATACAGACAGCTGGATAACTGCACCATCTGAACTTTATCCCTTGGAGCCAAGTGGAACCCATGGCACATGAACAATCTGACAAATGCATAGATGTAATTTAAAGGGTCTGTTTGAATATCTAAGCCATTTATAAAGTCTAGATGTAGTATTTTATTAGGTTCACATGCATTTAAATGCATTCCAGATGATCTGACACTAGTTGCAACACATCAAAACATGCGATGAGGGTAAGATGGCAATCATGTCATGAGATCATAAGACAATATCTACTTACAGTGCTGTATAAAATGTCATTTTCACCGGCTTCTGACAATTCGCTGAGATTTTTGTCCCATTGTAAAAACGGCTCTCCGCTATCCATTATTTCCATCGTCACGGAGGCGCAGCGTCGCTTCAACGACCCCAGAAACGGCTGTTTATCAGCGTATCCGTCAAATTACTCGCCAGACCGCGATTCAGAAAGACTAATTTACAGTCAGCTAAAAGTTGATCATAAGTTGAGCGTCTGTCGCCAATGTTCACGGAACTTTCCTCTCGGCTTCCTTGAGAAATGTCGCCCCTTCACAGACGAGCAGGAATTTGGGGGCGGGGAATTGATGAGAATCACGAAATCTGTTTACAAAAGACTGTTTGTGTGCTGTTGTATTTTCAATAAACGTTTTAGATGTTTCCAAACAACTTGTATCACTTGGGCATTTGAATAGGGGTTATATTTACCCACGCTGTTTGCAAACACCGCGCATATATTTGCTTCGAAAACATTAAACTTCGCAATCTGACCCGCCCTTGGAATTCGTGTGGCAGCCAATCAGGTGAGCCTTTAGGTTTAAAGCTCACGTTAATAAACAAAGACGGACAACGCGGCTGACCAATAAGAGATGGCTATTTTGTGATTGACGGGGAATTCCACCAATCAATATCGACCCCGCATAATCGCTTAACAAACCGTACGAAGCCAAGAGTACCAAACTGCACCGCCGCCCTCAGCTCATGTTTTCTGTCAGTTTGTTCTTATTGTGATTTTATTCCTTGAGAAAAATAAACGTAAGCTATCCGAAATAGTTTAGACACTCAAAAAACGCATCTTATTGTCAGTAACACGAGTATTATTAACTTATTTGCCCAAACAAATGCAAATTAACGTTACTGAGTAAACAGAAGAAATGAAACTAACAATACTCTCAGTTTCAAACACCAAACTGCCTGAAAAAGCTGCTGAAACTTCAAGATGTTCTGCAAGTGTTGTATATTTGAAGTCACAAACTTTGGAGATGGTGTGAGTATTAATAACAAACCCTTTACTGACAAAACTGCTACATTTACTCATGAACATAAGCATGGTAGCACAACAAACTGGACGTGGCTCTATGCGTATATATTTAATGTTTTAGAAGTAAAAAACGGATTATATATATATAGTTTCTTCTACAAAAACAGTCCAATTAACTTAAAGGGGCCTCAAAGGTGTTCACATGTCAAAAAGTGCATCTTCTGGCGCCCTCTGTATGAAATAAGAGAGCATGACACAATCATAACAAAAAAAATTACTGTTATTTTATGCATGACAGCTAATGGCAGACACAAATATACTCAGAGTTTAATGTAGATAAGCAGAGTTACACTATACAAAATATTGTCCTTTGACTCTATATGTCCAGAAAGGCATCTTCACTACTGGTCCCGCAGGTTTTCACTTAGAAACACAATATTATCTGGGGAAGGAGAAAGATATTATTATTAAATACATCATAATTAGTCAATTTAAGCAAAAATGATGCATGATGATGCAATCTTCAGAGTCTGACCTGCGATAATAGTTGTTGCCTGTCGTCTGACATTGTTTTTATCAACATACTCTCCATAATCGAGCTTTCCTTCCACAAAAATCCTAGACCTGTAAATGTAAGATTCTAGATTTAAAGCAGTATTTTTTAAAACCCTATTAAATGACTTTAAAAGCAAATAAAGAACACACCCTTTCTTTACATACTGATACGCCACGTCTCTGAGGCCTGGTTTGAATACAGAAATTCTGTGCCATGTTGTTTTCTGAGTGACGTCTCCTGCAGAGAAAAAGCATTTATTATTAATAGTACAAAGCATTTGAACAATGAAGGCAATATCTGACATCTGTATTTTAAAGCTGGTAAAACAACTAAAAAATTATGTTGTATTATTCCTTACTGTGGCATATATAGAAAGGAAGAATCCAGAAGTAAAAACCCTCCAGTCATTATTTATACACACAATGCTCAACATAATTGAATACACCCCATTTTGGAAATGAATATTATTATCCATTTCTCAGTGAATATATGTCATATATTTGGTGCATTTGAGCGAAACAGATTTATTAAACAGATATTTTTATTTAAATAATATTTTAGTCAGCAAAGATCTTTAGAAATAGAAAGATAATACATTTAAATTCATGTGAAATATTGGAGAAAAAAATTACAAACTACAAAATTTCAACAAAATTGTATACAGTTTTTGTTTTTCTTGAATTTTGCCCTTTTAAATGACTAAATTTAATATTTTTCTCTAACATTTAAATTTGATTGTACTCATTTTGGACTGTTATCATAAGTTATTTAGTTAGATAAGCACCAGATTTGGATTTAGTATTGACTAATCTAATATATATGCACAAATATAATAATGTAAAGCTTCCTATAGAACATATTAATCTAAATGAGAGATTTGTGAGGGGTGTACTCATATAAGTTGAGCACTGTAACTATATAAATATATATAGTTACAGTGCGAGACTTTTTGTCTCGTTTTACGCTTGAGCAACTAAATGAATGCCAAAGTCTATTAAACTGGATGTGTTTTAATGACGTTACAACATCGATGCTGTTTAAGGAACCGTATAAAATGGAGGAAAAAAGAAAATCACAATAACAGGTCACCGGAAGTCTATCAGTATGGGAACAACACTAGCTCGGCATACACCCTATTGAATTAAAAAACAAACACTTGCAGTATATCTTTACAAAAAAGACAGATTGATCCCTAAGCATTCACCTGCGCCAACTGGCTCTCCCTCCCCGGACCGCCACATTTCGTTTGTAGCCATAGAAAAGATGGTGACGGGGTTTCTGCCCTCCACCTGCCTCATGACGGGGTCTTGCCCGACTCGCCCAAGAATCTGCACCTTGTTAATAGCTTTAAAAAAATAATAACAATAAAAGCCATAAAAAATTATATACTTCTATATCCAGAAAGAGAACCAAAGAAATGGTGCATTTTAATTTTCATGCTTGAGTAAAACACTATGCTGCCCTTTAGTGTAATTAAAGAGCTAAAGGCTAAGGAATTTTTCAAATGGCCCAGATGGAAAAGATTTTTATTTGCCCAATCAATAATAATAATAATAATAATACATTAATAATAAAAATTTTAATATTTGAGATTTTATTTATTAGCTAATTTTTATTATTTAGCTATATTTTTATGATTAATATTGTGTAAAAACAAGCAAGCTCTACTTCTATCCATACACTTTTCCAAGATAACTTTCTGTTAAATAAAAAAGAACAAATGTTTTAAAAGTTTTAAAAACTATAATAAACTAAATCTATGCACAACATTCTGTCCAGGTCAGGATCCTCAGCAATAAATACATGAAGAACGTTTAAAGAAATGTTATTGTAAGGAAAATAATTACACTATTATGATAAATAGAGTTAAAAATGACCTCTTTTTAAATAAAAATTGTAAAGTTTTGATGAGATGATTGTTGGTGATTGTATGGGGTTTTGTCCAGATTTTGTAGCAATACATGAACAAAGTAAAATTAAGACATGTTAACAAAGATTTAAGACCTACAACACAATATTTCAGTAAATTTAAGACTTTTTAAGTCCTTAAATTTGGATTTTGATATATTTAAGACATTTTAAGACCCCACAGAAACCCTGGAGTAAACAACGAGTTGATTACAATGTTGTTTGACAGCTCTCAAAAGTGTCAAACAACAGGTCAAACTACTGGAAGAAAAAGCAATGTGTGTGTGGTGTCTGATAAATCCTCACATTTCTCCAAGGTCAGACTTGCGTCTGTGGTCCTATGACGGACAAACTGTTTCAGTATCTGTCAGGACAGAATAAAACAGCCATTTAATAATCAGAATCAAACAGCTCATCATAACACAATACAACAAACCTGAACATAATACTTTTTTGTATACTTCTTGTATTGTTACCTGTGCGGAGGCGTTTCTCAACATCTCTGCTGCGTCGATGGTGCTATAATGTTTACCGATATGTCATCCAGACTGATAAAGAGAAAATAACATAATTAAAACAAATTAGTGATTTAATGAAAAACTTTTAAGGAAACACTGCGATTAGGCATAGTAATATAAATGACAAGTGTAATAATATAATACAGGAAACAACTGTTTGACATCATCAATAGACAATAAAAGAAAAGCACTAAAAAATACGTATATGCTCAAAAAGATTGTCATCATGCATCAAAAAAGATTTAAAATGTACATTTTATGTTAGCTTTTATTTAACTTTTAAATCCATTATTATTAAACGAGAGATAAATTCTGCAAGAAGACGTGTACATATTTGTGAATTGCATACAGTTAAAATCAGAACTTTTGTCTGATTCTTATAAAGACTGCGATGTCATGATTTAGTTGGAGGTTCTGTATCTACTTTCGGCAAATCCAATGAAGAGACACATGTTAATCTACCGCCATGCACTTAAGTTACATTAATACGGGTCACGTATTTGAGATATTCGGAACAGCGAGTGTACGCCGATTTTATACGGAGTATTGACTTAGCACTTTATATCAAATAGAAATGTAAATGTAAACTTTTGACTTACAAATCCAGTAGATCTTGAGAAGGCTGCAATAACCCCACGCTGTTTCCGGTGCGTCTTCATAAACATTCCCCAGGAGCAAAAGAAACATATAACGTCAGTTCCGGTTCAACATAGTCATAAACAGCGATTCTTTTTGTTTATAAAACCTTTTTGGTAAAGTGATGTTGTATTACTTTTTAGCCTTAATAATATCCTTAATATTACTAAACTTAAATATTAAACTTAAAATTAAAATATTAAACCTCGTTACAGACCCAAACTAAACATTATAAATGTACAAATCTAACAATAATGCAGATGGTGATCTAGAGCAGTGGTTCCCAAAGTGGGGGTCGGGACCCCCCAAGGGATCGCGGGGCAATGAAGGGGGGGTCGCCTGGTGATTTCCAAAAATCGATTTATTTTTATTAAACCATAAGAATTAACATATTTTATCCATGACTATACTGAAAATAAAAATAGTCGTTTATAGTTACTATATACTATATAGTTACTATAGTAGCTTATAGTTACTAGATCTATTGGATTGCGACCCCTGGGGTAATTACATTATATTAAAGGCAGCAATAGCATCAGTACATTTTGATTTGATAACATCAGGTTATACTTTCTGGCACATTTAAAGCACTGACACAAATTTAATTGGTGTGTCTGCGTCATTGCATGCAAGATTTCTGTATTTATAACCACCTTAGAGGATATTGGGGGTCGCGAGTCACTGGCATTGTTATTTTGGGGGTCGCGGGCTGAAAAGTATGGGAACCCCTGATCTAGAGCAAGTGAAATAAAGACAAACATTTTGCAAATGTATGCTGATTATGGAAATTATTTAAAGCAGTTCATAATAATGTATGTATTATGTATAATACACGATCGCCTCATAGCAAGAAAGTTGCTGGCTGAGTCAGTTGGCATTTCTGTGTGGAGTTTGTATGTTCTCATTGTGTTGGCATCGGTTTCCCTCACAAGTCCAAAGACATGCAGTATAGGTGAATTAGGCAAGCTAAATTTTCCATAGTGTATGTGTGTGGATGAGTGTGTATAGATGCTTCCCAGTGATGGATTGCAGCTGGAATTAAGGGCCTCTGCTGTGTAAAACATATGCTGAATAAGTTGGCGGTTCATTCCGCTGTGGCGACTCCAGTCTAGACTCAGGACTAAAATGAAAAGAAAATGAATGAAGGAATAATACAAAATTATCAACAACACATGTAATATTAATAATTTTTAATAATCAATAAAGTTAATAAAGATGTTTATTTATTTATTTTAATTAGTATGGTATTAGTAAGTGTTTTAATAAAAATGTATTACTTTATTTAAATTTTAGACCATTTTTATTTCCTTTTAGTATAATAAACAAATAGTTATTTCATTTTTTAGTTCAAAAATTAGTCTAGTTTGAGATAATATAATATATATATATATATATATATATATATATATATATATATATATATATATATATATATATATATATATATATATATATATATATATATATATATATATATATATATATATATATGCATGTCAAGGAAAACACTAAACAACATGGGATAAATATCACTTAATATTATCATTTTGTATTATAATTTCCAGCGGAATTAAAATGGTAAATGCAAAAAATAATTTAAAAAGTAGAAACATATTGCTATTACTGTAAAAAAAAAATAATAATAAAATACAACAATCAGTAATTAACATGCTTAATAAAAACATTTCAGAGAGACACAGATGATAATGTCAAATATTGTTTTTATTTTTGAGGCCTTGAGGTACACCGAGTTCCTGAAAACAGTACAGTCTTATAGAGAGAGAGAGCATCCAAACATAATACCAGACCAGAGTAAAGAAGTGCATTTATACAGTAAAGTGTAATTTATATGAATATTCATAATACTGTGATCAATCTAATACATTAGAGTGCTAATGTGTCAACTGAGAAGTGCAATATGTTCATTTTATTATCACACACAATAACAAATAGTTCCATACATGGCGCTCTGCGATGACTTCCCATTAATTCTTATACACATAATAAAGTAAATCCAATCCTGAGAGTAGACAAAGGCGATATGCTAAACAGAGTGTAGTCCTGCAGTCTCTGTTCAACACACAGTAAGACACCATACAAGAGTTTAATTCAGTCATAAAGTGCAGCATAGACATCCAAAGGCATATTTGCACATCAGAAATTTAGCAGAGATGCTGGAGAATCAGCTCAGGGTCTCTCTAGGACCACACTGAGGAGTTGAGAAAGAAGCCGCTGGGCAGGTTGACTGATGGGATAGTGATCGGGAAGTTTGTCCTCCAGATCTGCAGTCTTCACATAGTACCTGTGGAAAAAAAACAGAGTAATTAAGAAAACATGACAGTCCCGATGCGACCCTAGATTAACATCTTTCCCTACCCCCATGGTGCGAATTACACATTGACAATCGGGGTAGGTCATTTTTTTTGGTAATGTTATGTTGTGTAATACAGATCAAATGTATTTATCTATATTATTTATGAAGCATATTTAAGCTTTCAGTGTTTTGTGGGATATTTTGTATATTGTGACCTTCAGTATCCTCTGATTAGCTATTTCAGACGTCAAACTATACAAACTATGCAGCTAATTTTACTTTACTTTCAGGCTATATGTAGAAACAAACACCTATTTTACAAGAAAAGTTTGAACGCGATTATGCATTCACAAGGGTATAAAGTCCATTGGGGGGGGGGGGGGTAAATTTATGTCATCTATTATTTTAATTTGTAACATTAGTATTTAGGATGCAGATCAGAGCAAACTATTTCTCACTATTTAGAAGGGTGACCCCCATACATATTGTTTTGACTTCTTTCAGAGGAGATCAAGCATTAATTAGGCGGGTCAATCCCCCCCAAAGACCCCTGTAATTCGCACCCTGTCTACCCCTAAACCAAACAACAAATGTAAGTTATTCCCAAAATCGGAGGGGAATAATAGTTGGATAGCTATCATGTAGAAGTGCATAAACCTAACCGTAAGCCTAAACCTAAACGCATCCCTTAATTCTGATTATCTGATTGGAATGTTGTTTCAGGATCAACATAGATGTTAATCCAGGATCATGTCCGACTTGGTGAAATCAGGTTAGGGAAAGTGCTGCCTTACGGGATATTTACACAACAACAATTAAAAAACAGGACAAAAAAAAACATTTCTGAACAATTCCAACGGGATATATGCATAGTAGTGTTTTTCAGCCACCAATAAACTTCTGGTGAACGCTTAATGTGGCCATTTTCAAGTTATATTTTACAGCATCAACAAATAAAACTAAAAAAAAAAAAAGTTAAATAGACTTAAGCATTCATTTAGTTGTTCAAGCGTAAAACGAGAAGAAAGACCATATAAACACTAGCGTTGTGTCACAACTTCCAGCAATCTAATCCTTGTGGATCGCTGGAGAACTATACACACACCACACATTAAAGAACTGCAACTCCCAGCATGCACCTTGCACACACCGGTTCCTGCTTTCCGCTGATTGCAAACACAACCACCTGAAGCTATTTATGAACTAATTCAAGGACTTTATAAACAGCACACACACACACATCTGGGCTGAGTCTTTTGTGAAGGACGCTGACAACGGATTTGAGGATGCAAATGCAGGTTTATTACAAGAATGGACAGGCAGGCAATGGTCAACAGGGTCAAACAGATACATGCAGAGAATCCAGAGTCGTGGTCGAAGAATGAGTGAATGATCAGTAAACAGATAAACAAGACTCAGCCCAGATGTATGTGTGTGTGTGTGTGTGCTGTTTATACAGTCTTTGAAACAGTCCATGAATAGCTTCAGCTGTGTATGTTTGCAATCAGTGGAAAGCAGGAACAGTTGTGTGCGAGGTGCACGCTGGGAGTTGCAGTTCTTTAATGTGGTGTGTGTGTGTAGATCTCCAAATTGTTATTTGTAATAACAGGAATGAGTTTTTCTTTTAATTGTTTAAAGATTTCATATTATGTCCCCAAAATATACCATTTAAATGCCTCTTTTTGTGTTGAAGTAAAAACACCTTGTTTTGGGGTGTGTTTCTTTAAATGCAAATGAGCTGCAGCACTCCACCCCTTTTCCAGAAGAGGGCGGGGTCTTTACAGCTCTTGCATCAGTTACTCCATCCACAACATAATTTGTTAAAAAAGGTGAATTGAAAATAAAAATTAAAACAGAATATTTTCACGTTTCAGGATTTAATTGCTTAACTATCATTTGAAACTAGGCTTTAAGATCTCTGGCCCTAAAAATGGGAATGTTTTGCTTAATGAAGCTCATGAAGGACCTGAACTCCTCCTTGAATCCTGTCCTGATGTATTTGCTCAAACAGGGGCTGTGCTGCAGACAGGCTAATAAAACACAGCATCGCTGGTACAGAAGAACCGCCTGAGAGGGGCTGATGGGAAACTGCGGGCCTGAGAGAACCAGAACCGTCTGTTGGGCCTGATATCCAACAAATGGGAGCTGAGATGGAGATAAACCCATTAGCTAAAGGTATGTTCATACATTCGTTCTGGTATGTTCATTTTGTGGACTTATGCAAATATTAATGAAAATGAATAGGTTTATACTCACTAAGAATGGATGTGGTTTAAGCAATCGAAACACCCAGCCAATGGTAAGGAAATGTCCCAGAGCAGGTGTGCGACTTGCCTTTGAATGGTAAAAGAAATGAGTAAAAGTGATCAGTGTTAAATTTGCATATGCATGGTATATATAGACAAATGACTAATAGTTCACTCAAAAAAAAAAATGAATCATTGCATTTGCTAACGTTTTTTATGGTAAGTGGTTGCAAATAATTTATATGGGCTGAATTTAAAGAAACACATTAAGCTGAACATTACTGAATTTAATGTGTTTGTTTAAATTCAGCCCATATAAATTGTTTGCAAGCACTTACCTTTAAAATTTTGCAAATGCAATGAGTTATTGCTTTCAGTGTGTGGAATAATTATTAAAGTTTTTGTAAAAATGTCATAAGCTTTTATGGGATGGAAAACACAGTAAACT